CAATGGGGAAAGGACAGTCTCTTCAATAAATGTTGCTGGGAAAACTGGCAGCCACATGCAAAAGAGTGAAACTGGACTGCTATCTTATACCACACACACAAATTAAGGACAAATGGATTAAAGTACTGAAACCATAATTCTCCTAGAAGAAAACATAGGTGTAAGCTCCTTGACATCAGTCTTAGTGATGATATTTTGGATTTGCAAAAGCCAAGGCAACAAAAGCAAAAATAAACAAAGGGAACTACATCAGGCTAAAGATCTTCTGCACAGCAAAGGAAACCACCAACAAAATTAAAAGGCAGCATACTGAATGGGAGAAAATATTTGCAAATCACATATCTAATAAGGTGTTAATATCCAAAATATATAAAGAACTCATACAACTCAATAGCAAAATAAATCAGATTCCTATTAAAGGGTGGACAGAAGCTCTGAATAAACATTTTCCCAAAGACACACAGATGGCCAACAGGTACATGAAAAAGTGCTCAACATCACTTTTAACAGGGAAATGTAAATCAAAATCATAATGAGATGCTACCTCACACCTGTTAGAATGGCTATTATCAAAAGACAAGGAATACCAAGTATTGGTGAGGCTGTGGAGAATAGAAGCCTTGTGTACTGTTAGTGGAAAGTGGTGAAGCCACTATGGAAACCAGTACGAAGATTCTTCAAAATATTAAAAATAGAATTACCATATGATCCAGCAAATCCATTTCTGGGTATTTACCCAAAGGAAATGAAGCATTGACTTGAAAATATAGCTGGACCCCATGTTCATTGCAGCATTATTTACCATAGCCAAGACATGGAAGCAACTGCCCTGGCCCGTGTGACTCAGTTGTTGGGCATCATCCTGTGCAACGAAAGGTTGCTAGTTCAATTCCTTGTCAGGGCACATGCCCAGGTTATGGATTGTGGGCTCAATACCCGGTTTGGGGTGTACAAGAGGCAACCGTTCAATAGACTTGTTCCTATCTAACATCAATGTTTCTCCCTCTCGCTACTCTCTCTCTAAAAATCAATAAAAATCTTTTTTAAAAAAGACATGGAAGCAACCTAAGTGTTCATCAGCGGATGAATAGATAAACAAAGTTATATATATTCAAATATTATTCAGCCTTAAAAAAGAAGGAATTCTTGCCATTTGTGACAACAGGGATGGACCATGGGATGGCATGATGCCATACCACAAGGGACCACACTGGGAGCACCAGGGTTGGTCAAGAGGCAGAGGGGTGAGGGGAAAAGGTAGCAGGAGCCTTTGTCATGGTTTCCATGAGAAGGAACAAGCAAGGCAGAATAAGCAGGTTTAGGACAGGCTAGTTGCAATACTTCCAGTGGGCTCTGGAGTGTGGTAGCTGTCCCTAGGCTGGTACCTGGCCCGAGGTGACTAGGCCAGGGGAATAGCAGCCCAGAGTGTAAGAGCTCAATACAGGTGGTGGTTGGGACTTCCAGCATATGAAAAGCATGCTCCCAGGGGAGTGGTTCTCTATATCTGAGAATTAGCTGGCCCGGGAGCAGTAGTACCTTCTGGGTCAACAAGACTGCAAAATGTCAAAGTATCAAAACTGCAGAATAGACAGACATGATGAATGCAGTGAGATGGGATCATAGAGTTTGATGCCTGACCAAGGTCATCTACCACATGGCAGAATCTGGACTCTCCTATTTCACATGCTGATCAAATTGGGGAGGTATTTTTGTGTGGGGTAGAGCATATGATTAAACTCATCTAACACTATGTACTATGCAGGTTTCAGCACTGTCACACATTATATCATTGGGTCTCAAAAATTCTGTCAGATTAAATGTGCAGATTGTGACCAAATATATGTCCATTTTAGAAATAAGGAAACTAAAAGTCAAAGCAAAAGAGATCTAGTGGATGGCTCAAGGTCACATAGAAGGAAAGAGGCAGAAACCAGTACTTTAGAAACAAATATTAGTGTGTGGCCTTTAATGAGAATAACATGGGAATAATAAGGCAGAGAGAACATTGAAAGTTGAGGGAGTGAGATGGGGGAATCAGAGCTTAAAGCTTATATATGACTGTATTTTGTAAATGCTTAAGGTAAATATGTCATGGGAAGAGGATGGCCAGGGAGAGGAAGAAGCATCTTTTGGGGGTTGGGATGCTTGAAGGACAGAACTGAAGAGTAAGAGAGAACATTTGGTCCTGAAAGGGTCAGGGTGGTGGGGGTGTTGCCCAGATTCTCCAAGAAAAGCCTCCCTCCAAGGGTCTGGCATTGGTATATTAAACCTTGTATTCCCATGTCCCATAATAGCTTCCCAGTAAATGTTCATACTTATGCCACAGGCTGAGGATGGGACTCCAGGTGTTGGTGTGCAGGATGCAGGGCAGGGCCTGAAGGACATTTTGGAACAAAGCAAGCTGGCTCATGTGTGCTAGAGAGAGGAGGATGAAACTAGGCAAAGCTCAATAAAAGCTATTTCTTCTCATAGATTAAAATGTGAAATGGGATAACAAAAGGTAGATCCTAGTGAAGGAATGACCTGGGCAGAGAAAGCTTATATTCAATTTGCACCTAGAAATGACCTTCCACTGTGGTAGTGTTGCATGTGTCTGGACCCTCTGTGTGTGGTAGAGAGTAGCAGGCAAGAGAAGAAAGGAGGGAAATCCAGAGAGGGTCATCATGGATTTTGGTGGGAAAATTTTCCCCACGTATAATCTTAGGAAGAGCTTCAGAGGGCACAAGCAGGGCCTGGGCAGATCCCCTGCTGGTCATGGTTCTGGACCCACTGGGCTCTATGCTGTGGAAGATTCAGGGCATCTGTGGCAGGAATGGGAGGTGGACATAAAGGTTGATGATCAGGGTCTCTGGGGAGGACAATCCTTGGGTTTCTAAGACTGTCCTTACATTTAGGAGGTGGGAATGGTATTCATATTCTTCATGTGTGGAGGGTGAGAGGGTGATGAGAGGTTGGGATCATGTCCCCAGAAGGACAAGGCTGACAAGGGGCTCTGGGCAGAGTGTCTGAGGAGCTTCCTTCTCTGGGGAGGGATCTCACCTCGGTCCTGGGCCTGGCATAGCCCCACCTCAGTGATCTCCCGACACCAGGCCTGCAGCTCAGGGTCCCCTCTCACGTCATCCCCGTGGTAGAAGAGGTGGATGATCCCTTCCACGTACCTGCCCAGAGGAGAAGGGAGCTGAGCTCCTTGAAAGTACAAGGCTGTAGCCTATGACCGTTAATTCTTTTCTGTGGCCTCTGTCCAGCTGACTTTCATTGTATCTGGGGGCAAATCTTACAAGACTTTTCTTTTGGGACATCCACAACCTCTTTCTACACACTAGGTTAGAAAGGAAATGTGAGACATTAGTTTTAAGCATTCCCTAGAGATGATTAATAACCATTCTTTCTAACAAAACCCAAGTTCTTCCAGATCTCCAACTCCCCATTCCCAGTTTCGCCAAGCTAGGCTCTCCCTTATTCCACTTTCTTCTTTTTCAGATTCTATCCACTGTCTCCTCTGCTCCCCCTGTCTGAACCTTCTTCTTTCATGTTCCTCATGCTGACCTCAAGACAGAGACCCACTCTCCCTCTCCCCAATGGCCATCCATTTCTCAGCTCCCACTCTTACCCACCGGGCAATGATCTCCCAGAGCCGTAAAGCATCATGGGCATAGAGAGCACTTGGGATTCCCAGCAGGCCCCGGTCAGCCAGATCGTCAGGAGGACAGAGGGAGCGGTAGGTCAGCTGAGCCATGGCCCGACCCGTCAACTGCACATGGGGCCCTCCTCCTGTGCTCACTGCCTGGAATTTGAGAGTTGACGGGTCTTAAAGAAGAGCTGACAATCTTGGCATAGTGTATAAGGGGTTCACAGTGGGGTTTACAAAATTAAAAGTATGAAATGAACAGGCTCATGGGTTTAAGGATCAAGACATTCATACCAGGTGGTGTGAGACTGTGAAGATTGTGGGAGGTTGTAGAGAGATGAAAGATTAGGCAGCCCCATGCCCCCATTTCCTCTTTACCTGACTAAATATTCCACTATCTGAGTTGAACTGTGTCCGTCCACGTATGTTTATATCCATGGTGTAGCGCGTGTGTGGGATCAGGAGCTGGATGAAGAAGATTAGAGAAGGGTAGTTATTGGAGTCCATGCTTGGGTCCTCCCTTGTAGGGAGTGGCACTCAGCCTGGTGACGTTCTCGCCCCTGGATCTTTTCCTCCCTGCCAGTGCCTTTGTAGGCTGGTCTCCTTCTGCTGCTATGATCACTAACTCTCATGCTCTCCATGACTATTGTGGAGCTAGAATGACCTGGGTTTGAATTCTTGCTTAACCACTCACTTTGGTACTTGTTCAAGTACCTCATCTGTCAATTTCCTCATCTGTTAACAAGGATGATAATAGGTCTTCTAAGTCAGATGCTGTGGTGGTAATTATATGAGTAATATATAAAGAGTGTTTAGCTCAGTGCCTGGAACAGAGAAGCATTGATTAGGAGGTATTATTATTACCTTTATTGTATCCACCTTGAATATACTTGTCCGTTTAGAAGCTACCCCTTAGCTTTCAATATCATTTCATGCTTCCTCTATCATTCACATCTTTTCATTCCTTAAACTAGCCTCTCTGCTCATTTTCAAAGCTCTCCCTCCAACTGCTCATTGTTTTACTCTTGGATTATTTTGGGGAAAGAGTATCTCCAGTGAGAATTTTAGAAATGATATCAAGCTCCTTGCTTAAGCAGCAAATGGGTTGTCATTAAATCTGTGCCCATTCCTAATTGTCCTCTCTTTCCTTCTTTTTTTTAGCTATTAAAAAGTACAAAAGTACAACTAACATATTCTTTTTATCTTAGATGAATTTTATTTCATTTCTGCCTGGTTGATATACAGGATTTAGACTGTTTGGATATTGATCAGAGCTTTTTGATGGTGGACTAAAGGAAGGACACAAGTGATACTGCTGATACCAAGTTATCAAGGGGGCTCATATTGTTCTTTTCAGAAAGTTCATGGAGAGATGCTGGTTTCACAGAAAACACTAAGACCACAGTGAGGAGCAAAGAACCCAGAACAGAGTTCCTAACAGCAATGGTAGTAATGATGATGATAACCAAAGTAACAGCAGAAAACTGACTTTATTCTAGCATTTAGCCTGTAATGCCTTAACAACCCAACAATGGAGATCATTATCCTCCTTCAGAGATGAGGAACCTGAACATACATCTGGTAAGTACTGAGACCAGGATTCAGGCTTCAGACCCAGAGCCTGCACAGATAATCTTGGTAACTTCTGCAAGCTTAGCCCACCTGGGAGTTCCAACAAGACTGTCTGCCATGGGATGGAGTTGCTATGGTGAGGGAATATGGCTGTGGAGGGGGCTTATCTAGTAAAAGGACATTTTGAAGTGTAAAATTGGGCATAAGTGATTCAAGCTAGGAGGGAGATGGTCATGCAAAGGCATCATGAGGTTATCAAATCTGAGAGCCCATGAACTACATTAGTAACTATTTTGTCTATGTCACCCTAGAACCCCGAACAACCACAGCCCAGAGGAGGGTTGGCATTGGAAATCTCAGTGACATTACAGTTCAGTTGTTCTGCCTGCCAAATACTCATTTGCATATCTTACCAACACTTCAAACTCTTTGTATCTGAAGCTCAACACCTCATCTTTGCCTCCAAACTGGCTTCTTTTCCTGACTACACTCTTTCTGACCATTGCTCTGCTTTATAGGCTTATAGATTTTTGCTCCCTGCTCTTCCCTGTTCCCTGTATCAAAGTGCCATTGAGATTTGGAAAACAATTGTAAGACAAGCACAGGCCTTATTTTGCTGCCTTCTGCCTAGCAATAGACACTGAACTCGCTGTT